GACCGGTCGGGCCTACTGGTCGGCTGCAATAGGGTCGGCGGTCGGGGTCGGCGGTCTGCAGGTATGCAACCCTGGAAAAAAGACAAGAAAAAAGAGAGAATCTGATAGCACATGCACACATGCAGTGCAGGTTTTCTCTCTTGAAGCATTGTGCCCTAGTCTGCGCCGTATTCGCACTCTATTGAATGGCTATAGTATAGGTTTATGCTATCGAGTCTTTTCCAAGAGGAGCAACTGCTGGAATGAAGAGTTCCGTTGTCCACTCGCGTGATGTTTTTTGTAAGCATGATGGACTTCGTGAAGTTTTCGCTTTGAGTTATTTTTTCTGTAACGATCTGATGATTTTTACTGATGTCCTTTCAGCTTCATGTCTTGGTGTGTGGCATCCTATCATCAGGAATTCGAAGCTGACACACTTGCTGCAGGATTCCTTAGGTGAGTGGCTGAATGCACACTTCTGTTAGATGCGAAGTTGCTGATCGAATGAGTCAAATCCCCTTCCCCTTCCCCTTCCCCATCTTTTTCGCATTTTCTTTGATTGCTTTGTTTCCTTCTAGTCAATACTTTCTGAGCATACTCGTACTTGGGTGGCAAAGTAGCAATATTTGCCGCATTTGCTACCTGCGGTTTGCCATTTTGCTACATTGTGCGGTTGAACAGGTGTAGCACATCAGAAACGACAGCACCATGACCTTCTGCCAGCTGCAAAATTGCACACCAGCACAGTCACACAGCAAAACGTGTCTGTGTAGAGAGAGAGAGAGAGAGAGAGAGAGACAGAGACAGGGACAGAGACAGATACACAGAAAGCAGTCGTCCCCCTCGCACATCGTCTTCCGACCTCCTCCTCCCCCTCGCGCGATCTCCGTGCGACCTCCACGCGACCTCCTCCTCCCTCTCTTCCGACCTCCTCCTACCCCTCGCGTGACCCTCTCCTCCCCCTTGCGTGACCTCCTCTCCCTCGTGTGACCTCCTCCCCCTCTTCCAACGTCCTCCCCCTTGCTCGACCTCCTCCTCCCCCTTGCACTCCCCCTTGCTCGACCTCCTCCTCCCCCTTGTGCGGCCGTCTCCTCCCCCTCACGCGTCCTCTTCCCACCTCCTTATCCCCCTTGTGCAACTGCCTCCTACCTTTCTTCCTACCTCCTCCTCCCCCTTGCACGGCATCCGCTTCCCCCTCGCACGACCTCCGCCTTGCATGGCCTCCTCCTCCCCCTCGCACGTCCTCTTGCGACCTCCTCCAAACTCTCTTCCGACCTCCTCCTCCACTTGCACGATGTCTTCCTCCCCCTGGCAACCTCCTTCCCCTCTTCCAACCTCCTCCTCCCACTTGCACAACGTCCTCCTCCCCCCCGTGCAACCTCCTCCTCCAACTCTCCAAACGGCGCCCGAATAGAAGCACACGAAAAACTCACGCCCCCCACATCTGCACCTTCCCTCACATGTGTGTGTCTGTGTGTGTGTGTGTTAGATGTGTGTGAACACGTTGCCTTAGCCTCAGCATGGTAAAAACCACGCACCATACCATCGCAGCACCTCAGGTGGAGAATACGCATCTGAGTGCAGTCGAGTCTAAAGGCAGGGAACAGACCATAAAAAAAAGCAGCAAAACTGAAACACAGGCAACAAGCAACAAGGCAGCACACCGGCTGGAGGGCACGGGTAAGGGAGGGCACACGACACACCGGCAGAAAAAGCAGGGAAAAGACCACAACAAGCTACGAAAAAAAAACAGTCCTGAAAAAAGAAAAAAACGAAAAAAATAAACTGATGAAAGATTGTTTCGTCGGAGTTGCACCGTGTCATCAGGAGGCTGAACCCTCGGCAATCTGCGGAATAGCCGTATTTCATGGTTTGGGTCATGAACCCTTTGACCATCGTTGCAGGCAGACTATTCCCAATCGGAACATAGCAACGGGCAGCAACCCTGTGGAGCAGCAGGCAACACAGTGGAGGGAACACGGCTGCACAACGCCAAGAACGACTGCAACGAACGACATAGCATGCAGGACATGCAGCACGGCAACGATGTAGTGAAGTACAAGGCACTGCAAGGGGTGACAGGGCGAGCGGACCAGCAGCTCGGCAACCGTGGAGCGAAGCACAAGGTACCAACAACACGGCAACCAACCTACAAGGCGCGCAAGCGGCAAACATGGAAGGCACGAACAGCGGATGAGCGGCAAGGCAGCGGAGCAGCGAAGCGCAAGGCAACACCAACAACACGGCCACACCACACAGCGAACACATCAATTTCCAGAGAACCACATGCAAAGCAAGCGAGACAGGCAGCAGGGCAGCGGCAGAGCGCAGACGAGGCCGTCCACACAGCTAACCCAGAGCAAACCAGCTCATGACCTACTCACATCACGATTAAACCCCGCAGACTGTTGGTTCCCACCACCCACTGAGCCAGGGAGACACTCCTACGAGCATCCGTCATCACCAACAGGCAACACAAGCATCCCAAACCGAGCGCCCCCCTCTAAGAGTTCAGTAGGCACTCCAAACGTGGAACCACCGACTGTTTAGCACTACTTAAGGGTGCTCAGTTAGGTAAGCAAAATTACTCAGAAAAAATCGGAGGGAGGACAGACAACAAGAAGGAAACTGGCAGACATAAAACTGATTGTGTGTGTGTGTGAGAGAGAGAGGGCTCACGGCAACCGTTCCCGACGCCTGCACATGACCCCACCCCGCGACGTTCCACCATAACGCTTCCAGTTTCGAGCCCACCCTGCATCGAAAAAACCCAGTGCGGACTTTTGCCTCTCTCCCCCGCGTCAGCTCCTGCTTGGCCTGTGGCACCCGTAGAAACCCACAACCTTTCCAGCACGTGCGCTTCGCTCCTGGCCCTGCGCGGGCACCTCACTCGGGCCGCTTTGTGGGCCTGCCGCGTGGCACCGAATTTCGCTGGGCCTGATGGGAAATGTTTTTTTTTTTTTTTTTTTTTTTTTTTCGTTTCCATGCTAAGGTCTGATGGGGCTTCTGAGACAGGCCTGAGTTCTAGGTATGCTTGATGAGGGGTCTGTCTGGAATCAGTAAGGGTAGGGGTCTTCTTGCTAGGGCCGGTGTTGAGGTTGGGGGGGAGGCTGGATTGATGGTTGTGTAAGGAGAAGAGAGGGG